ATTTGAAGCTTTGAAACATAGTGTTTTCAGTTTGATTTCAGCCTCATATCTGCAGAGTTAGAGCGTTAAACATGTGTGAATGAAACAAAACACAACCGAGCATGTTTTTGGTGAGGAAACAAGATTATAACACCGCTCAGAAAACAGCGAAATATGGCCCCTTTAAAGCTCTCGGTCTGTATTTCCAGTCTCTAGTTTAGTCTGCGTTGTCGAAGGCGGTTTCTCAAGGCCGAGCAGCTCCCTCAGACTCGATCCTGCGCGCTTTTCGATGTAACCGGGCACCGTGTTATTATCTCTCACTTTAGACCCAGTTCTACCCCCGTCTGTGCGTCCGCTGTGGTCAAAAATCGCCGAGTCACTTCAAAATCTAGCCTTCTGTGGCACGGCCCTCGCCACAACATGGCAGTTATCAGATCAGGCCCCGTCCCAAACCATACAGAGGGAGCATTTTTGTGGCCGCTCCTTTCAGAACAAGTCGGAAAAAAAACACTGTCCGATGTGAATGTAGCCACCGCCGAACCCATATCTGGTTTACGTCCTGGAGTTTGGTGTATTTTAGGAATAAGGTTATGATAGGGTCAACACAGCGAGGCCAGTCATTTTCTCTGGCACACTTATTTTCTATGGGGATGTTACTCCACTGCTTCGTCTCGAGCTGTACAATTATTTTGTTCCTCCTCAAACCATCCCTCTCGGTTTTTCTAAGGCTTGCAATAGTCCGTGTCCTGAGACCACACAGAGATGATGTAACCTGTGTTTAATCTGCCATAAACTCCGCTGCTGATTTGTCACTTTGTTTAGTCAGTAATCATCTTTCAGACTCAATGGTTTAGCGGTGTGTAACGTCCAATCAAATGCTACGACGCTCCGATGTGCGGGATTTGGGCCAATCATGATAAAGAGCGTGGGTTTATTGAAGAACATGTACGGATATAGTCGCAAAGTCATCGATCATGGTATACCGAATAAATAATTAGAGGTGCACTATGTAACTGCTCTGCTTGCTCCCACGGTGATATTACTGGTTTGCGTTGAATGTTCTATGGTACAACATTAAACGTACGTCAAAAGTTTTAGAACACCCTAATTTTTCCAGTTATTTATTGCAGTTCAAGTCGTGCAAGTCCAATGAAAAGCTTGAAATGGTACAAAGGTAAGAACTGAACAGACAGAGGTTAAAAAAAAACAAAACATAAAAGATACAAAACAGAAGTTCAAGCTCTGCCAAAACTACCTCATATCAAGAAAAAAGAATATCAAGCTGGTTTGGGATGAACGGAACAGCAACGTGAAAGCCAAGGAAAATCCGTGTATCATTTGTTCATTCGTTTTTCAATATAAACACATACATAAGAAAATTAAAAATGGATAACGATTCATTTTTTTCAGTTTTCAATTTTGTGTTTAAAGAATAATAAAAATGGACAACGGCCATTTCCCGTTTCCGTGACTAAAACAGGACTGAACCGGGACTAAAACAGGACTGAACCGGGACTAAAACAGGACTGAACCGGGACTAAAACAAGACTGAACTAGGACTAAAACAAGACTGAACCGGATCTAAACCAGGACTAAACTGGTCTCAGTCCTGGTACTGGTTCCGGTCTCAGTCCTCATCACCCGACAGTCTACATGGGTGCACCTCTGGGCCTGTTGCAGTTCTCTTGGTTTAGTCCTGTTTTAGTCTTGTTTCAGTCCGTACGCGGCACAAAAGTCCGGCATCTCAATTTAAGTTATAGAAAAGGGAAACAGCCGTTATCCATTTAAACACAAAATTGAAATCCTTTTTTTTTTTTTTTGGGTTTTGGAGACAAATAATGAAGAAAACAGTAGTTTTTTTGCTTTCTTATTTTTGGTTTTATATTGAAAAACGAATGAACGAATGATACAAGTGCCACACATTTATAGAACTTCTGCAACAGACTTTGAAAGAACTTTCTGAACAATATTTGATTTCTATTGCAAAAAAAATGAGCCACGAGTGTGTTCAGCTGTTATATCTGCCAAAGGTGGACACTTTCATCAATCAAAAGTTTAGAATATGTTTTGGTCACAGTAAAAAACTGGAAAAAGTGTGGTGTTCTAAAACTTCTGACTGGTAGTGTATACAGTGGTCTCTCACTATACTGCGGTTCACCTTTCGCGGTCTTGCTGTTTCGCGGATTTAGTCGGGATTTAGGATTTAGTCCTGTTTTTGTCCCAGTCCTGGTAAATGTATAAAGTGTATGGTGAGGGGTTTTACAGCCTTAAAACAGATATAATCATTGTAAAATATAAAGTTGACTACTTCACAGATTTCACCTATTGCAGGTTATTTTTAGAACTTAACCCCCGCGATAAACGAGGGACCACTGTATATATCTTTCATATATTCAACAGTTTTTAGTAGGAATGTAATGATATTCAGATCTCTCAGTACGATATTATCACGATATGCATCTCACGTTACGATATTTGCTGCGATATCTTGGTTGATAGGACACTTTTTTTGCTTTTAAAATACCTTGACAAGATTTTGGTGTGAATCATTACTGTCAGAATCCCAAGAATTCAAGTAAAAAACGTATTTCTTCATGTTGTCTGTGCTGAAATGCATCATGGGACACGTAGTTCCCGGTGTTTATTAGCTGTTCCTACTAAAGAACAATGCATCAGCTCTCCGCAGATACGGCATAACTTGGCCTGGCGGCGTCACCTGTTTGTTTCCATGGAGAAGAATCGCTTTAGACTCCCTCTTCCTCAGTCTGTAATACAGTTTAAGACTAGACTGTACACCCACCTCTCTTCTCTCTGGACATTTAGCACTAACTAGAGGCTATCCTGGTGTTTTATTGGAGTTTTCTGTAAATCCGTTTCTTTCAGGTTTTTTTGTTTTGTTTGTTTGTTTTACTTTTCTGTGAAGCACTTTGGTCAGCTGAAGTTGTTTTAAATGTGCTGTATAAGTCAACTTGAACTGAATTAAACTGTTAATCTATTGTTGTTTACTAGAGAAATGTATAAATTGCTAAACATGTTTTTTTAGTAGTAGTAGTAGTAGTAAGTAGTAATAGTAGTAGTAGCAGTAGTAGTCGCAGTAGTAGTAGTAGTCGCAGTAGTAGTAGTAGTAGTAGTAGTAGTAGTAGTAGTAGTAGTCGCAGTAGTAGTAGTAGTCGCAGTAGTAGTAGTAGTAGTAGTAGTCGCAGTAGTAGTAGTAGTAGTAGTAGTAGTAGTCGCAGTAGTAGTAGTAGTAGTAGTAGTCGCAGTAGTAGTAGCCGCAGTAGTAGTAGTAGTCGCAGTAGTAGTAGCCGCAGTAGTAATAATGTTACAATCATTTCTCTAAAACCTACCTGAAATTGTGTTTTGTTTCATTCTCACGTTTGAGTCATGTTGATTTATTAGTCTGTTTACATTTCCGAAGCTGAGGAAGATGTAGAACATTTCAGCCAATGCATGTTTCAGAATCCTCCATCTGAATAGTTACAGAGTGCAGCTTTAATTTCTCTGGTGTAGGTGGTGTATTTGAAATGATGTTATGAGCACATACAGTAGACATCATGTAATGGGTAACTTTGTACTTCTGGTAAAGACATTAAACATTGTTGAACTTGTAATAACAAAGGCTGAATGTAAAGCAGATGCAGATATATTTCTGACAACCAAATTAGCATCGACCACCGAACATTAAGCTCCATGTGTTTTATGTCAGTGCCTGAGCACAGAACATGGTTCATGCCAAAGTCACTGAATTCTTGTGTTATAATGGACAGCTATGTTGAAATCAGGCAAACCACCGCTCTGACTTCCACTCGATTATTATTTTAAAAGCAATTTGTTCAACCATATCCACAGAGCGGTCATTTTGTATGTTTTTTATTATGCAAAAAAGAGAGACATATTCAAAGTCAACTTTTGTGAGTTTTTAGCCTCTACGGGGTTATTATTTCTTTGCCAAGAATGTTTCACAGTAAGATTTTATACTTATCTAGCTCCATGGAGACAAGCAGGTGGCACATGTTACAGGTCACATCTGTGGAGAGGCTAGTATGCACAGCGAGGATTGCTTTTTGAAATGTATTATTTAGCAAACTGTAATTGAAAAAAGCAAATTAGAAAAGTTTAATACTAGGGATGTAACAAAAACTGAAATTTTGTGAATAAAGTCTCACAAAAATATCGTGGACCATCACAATATATCAAATCACAAGTTTATTTGCTTAAATTCATTGTTGTGGTACAGCAATAGCTAAAAAAAACAGAGAGAACTACATAGACCATGATCCTTTGCGCTGTTTTGTCCAATCTACATGCTGAAATTAACTTTTAAATCTTCATTATTTGAATTATGATGAGAGAAAAGTAGCATATTCACAATTTTGTTAGCCTACATAAAATATCACAATAAATATCATACAGTGAGATGCATATCGTGAAAATATCGTATCGTGAGAACTGGATATCGTTACATCCTTATTTAATACCATAAAGCAGAACATTCCAGGTAAAGAAATAACATCTGTGTAGACAACCAGATGGCGAGTTACACAATGCACTTTAAGTTTCTTAAACACAACAGATTTCAGGCAATCCAAAAAAGAAGAAAAAGTAAAAAAAATCGCACGAGGAAAAATATAGTTAAAAGGCCTTTATTTGAATGGCCTTAAGTGGTTAATTAAGCCCTGATGAAGACAACTTAAGGTCAAAACATGTTGGCTTTGGCCATTCAAATAAAGGCCTTTTAACTATATTTTTCCTTGTGCAATTTTTGACTTTTTCTACTTTTTTGGAGTGCCTGGAATCTGTTGTGTTTAAGTTTTGATCCTTTTTCCAAGAGCACCCTCTACCTGTTCCTACTGACTGGAACACCTGCAGCAAACAGCCACATTTTTGTTCTTTCTGCACTTTAAGTTTCCTTTTGGGCACCGCGAGCTGAAGCTGAGTGTAAGAATATAGATGATGGTAAATTCTCATGAACTAACCTTTTTTTTGGTTTGTTTTTCGTTGCAGGATGGAGTGACGATGTGATGGAGGGTACTATGGGCCGGTGGGCAGGTTCTCGCTCCGCTCTCTTGCTCCAGGCCCTGTTACTTCTGCTGCTGCTCTTTTTCCAATCCTGCCTCTGCCAAACCACGCCTCAGGATGGACCCCGATTCGCCTTCACGCAGACAGTCTACCACGCAACCGTCTACGAAAACTCCGCCGCGCGCACCTACGCCAACAGTAAAGTTAAAATGGGCATTCACCTGGCGCAGCGCTCCTGGGAAATCCGCTACAGGATTACTTCTGGAGACGATGAAGGGTTTTTCAAAGCGGAGGAGTATGTTTTGGGGGACTTCTGCTTTTTACGGATAAGGACTAAAGGCGGGAACGCAGCCATTTTGAACAGGGAGATACAGGATAACTACGTGTTGACAGTGAAAGCTTCGGTAAAAGGCGAGGCTTTGCTGGAGACTTGGACAAAAGTTAGCATACAGGTTTTGGATATGAACGATTTGCGGCCACTGTTTTCGCCGACTACTTACTCAGTCACTATTTCGGAAAGCACTCCTCTCAGGACTAGCATAGCACAAGTTACAGCCACAGACGCGGATATTGGCTCCAATGGCGAATTTTATTATTTTTTCAAAGATAAAATGGAGCTGTTTGCAGTTCACCCGACTAGCGGTGTAGTTTCGCTCAGCGGAAAACTCAACGTTGACGAACAAAGCAGATATGACTTAGAGATTTTAGCAGTAGATCGCGGTATGAAGCTCTACGGAAACAACGGCGTTAGCAGCACGGCGAAGCTTTTCGTTCACGTAGAAAGAGTCAACGAGCACGCGCCGACTTTGAACGTGGTCACTCACATGCCGTCGCTGCTGGAGAAGAACCCCGTTTACGCGATTGTCACCGTGGAAGACTTGGATGAAGGTCTGAACGGAGAAATCGACACCGTTTCTATTGTCGGCGGGGACCCATCCGAGCATTTCTTCGTCGAACAAACGGACGATCATGAATTTACGATAAAAGGATCAGAGCCTGTAAACTGGGACACTTACCCTTTTGGTTGTAATCTAACGTTGCAAGCTAGAGACCGGGGAACGCCAGCGAAATTCTCAGACGTCAAACTTGTACAAATTACAATTCGGAAAAAACAACCTGTTGACGTCAAATTTGAAAAAGAGGTTTACGAAGCAAGCCTGAATGAAATCTCGCCACCAGGCACTATCGTCATAGCTGTAAAAATAAATCCAGAACCAGATGACGCTGAATACATACTCTCCCCATCTGCCGATTCAGCGTTTTTCAGAATCAACACGATGACAGGGGTAATCTCCACCACTCGCTCTTTCACTCAAGTCTCCCAAGATGTTTTCAACCTGGAAGTGCTGGAAGTAGACAGCGAGCTAAAGGTCAAAATCCGTGTCAGCATAGATGACGCTAATGACAACACGCCGACATTCACGCAGCCTTCGTATGAGGTTTTTGTCAATGAAAGCGTCCCCATCGGTACCAACGTGCTGGCTGTATCGGCCGTAGATGACGACAAAGGCGAGAACGGCTACATAACGTACAGTATTTCAAGTTTGCAGCCTGTCCCGTTCAAAATAAATCAGTTTTCAGGCATAATTAGCACAATTAAAGAGCTAGACTTTGAATCTTCATCTGAGAGTTTTGTTTTTGTGGTCAGAGCGTCCGATTGGGGTTCTCCTTATCGCAGAGAAAGCGAAGTCAACGTAACGATTCACGTTGAGAATGTAAATGATAATCAACCGTTGTTTGAAAAAGTTGCGTGCCAGGGAGTGATTTCAAGGGACTTCCCTGTTGACGAAATAATTACTACGATGTCCGCTATTGATGTAGACGAGTTAGAGCTGGTCAAATACAAAATCCTTTCCGGCAATGAGTTGGGATACTTTGACCTTAATCCAGATTCGGGAGTTCTGACATTACGGCGTTCAGTTACTACGGCTACTCCTAAAAATGGAGTGTTTACTCTCAAAATTACAGCTACAGACGGCGAGAACTATTCCGATCCGATTTTCGTTAATATTACAATTGTACAAGGCAAATCACCCCCGAAAAGCTTCAACTGCAAAGAAACAAGGGTCGCACAAAAACTAGCAGAGAAGCTACTCAAGAAATCCAAAGCTGGCTCCAAACCCAAAATAGAAGAAGGCTTTATCGACCTGTTTTCTGTCAACCGCCAAACGCCGCAGTTCGATAAGGCGTTCCCGACGGATATCAAAATTCGCGAAGATCTCAAAATCGGTTCTAGCGTTTTCCAAGTGAATGCGTACGATGGAGATTCTGGATTCAACGGGCAAATCGTTTACACCATTTCCGATGGGAATACAGATAACTGCTTCACGATTGACATGCACTCTGGACTCATTAGCATTTTTCTTCCGATGGATCGTGAAAAGAAAGACCGCTACCTGCTAAATTTAACAATATATGATCTCGGCCAACCGCAGAAAAGCTCTTGGAGACTTCTCACTATTTTTATTGAGGACGCCAATGACAATGCACCACAGTTTTTGCAAGAATCTGGATACAAAATTGTCATTCCTGAAAACACTGCCATAGGTACCGACGTTATCCAAGTTGAAGCTACAGACAAAGATCTCGGTTCAAACGGGGAGATCGTCTACTCTATTCTTACCAGTACCACTCAGTTTGCCATAAATTCCTCAAATGGGATCGTTTACGTTGCTGGACAGCTTGACCGTGAATTCATTCCAAGTTTTAATCTCAAAATCGAAGCAAGAGACAAAGCGGAGAAAGGCAGTCAAAAATTTTCAGTCACAACTTTGAAAATTACCCTGGAAGATGTCAACGATTGTCCACCGTTGTTCATTCCTAGTGTTTACAAGGCTAGAGCATTGGAGGATCTTCCCGTTGGGACTGTCGTAGCCTGGTTGGAAACTCAAGACCCAGATTTAGGATTGGGCGGGCAGGTTCGGTACTCTTTGGCCAACGATTACAATGGATGGTTTGAAGTGGACAAAGCGAGCGGAGCCATACGACTGACCAAGGAGCTGGACTACGAAACGCAACAGTTCTACAACCTCACCGTACGGGCCAAAGATAAAGGACGCCCCGTTTCTCTTTTGTCTGTAACTTTTGTGGAGATTGAAGTCGTTGACGTCAATGAAAACCTCTACGCACCGTATTTTAACCAATTTGCTTTAACTGGATTAATCAAAGAAAATTCTCGTATCGGAACTACGCTTCTTCAGGTCACGGCCAATGATGAGGACGACGGTCGTGACGGGGAGATACAGTACTCCATTCGGGACGGGAGTGGACTGGGAAGGTTCGCCATTGATGAAGAGTCAGGTTAGTCACTCTTTAAATTTATATTTGCTGTAATAAATGTTGTTTTGAGTTTCATACAATCTTGAATACCCAACCTCATCATCGGGGTCCGCCGCCTATTCTGACATCCCTTCATTACGACATGCCTCTGTTTAGACGTGCCATTTTTTCGACACTTTTTATTAGTATCTCTTTTTCGACACTATTCTGTTTTAGATTAGATATTTTCCCGAAGGCTGGTCTATGCACTGTTTAAAAATGCATGACTGTTTCTCACGGCTATGTTAGGACATTTTCCCACTGTCTGATGTCCTATGTGGCCAAAGTATTCTCTGATCAATGATATATGGGAGCGCAAAGTATAATAGGCTATTATATTAATATGATTCATGTCGGAAAAGTGCAATGTTTGAAAAATAGTAAAGTTCCGCTACTCTAGCAATGGAAAAAAAAAAAAAAAGTTGAAGTGCTGCAGCTGTTACTCCGACAATTAGATGTCAATGTTTAAATAGCGGCATGTCGGATGGATGGGAGACTGTTGGGAATACCATGTACTTTGATGGGGCACCACTAGCTTTATTGTATACTAGTGCTGTGTCCTTTGGCAAGATGATGCTGTATATATAAATGTTCCGGATAGAAAGTGAACATGGGGGGCTCCTTCAGGCTCCATCGTCTGTTTCCAATTGACTTTAAACTTAAAAATTGTCACCCTTCTCTCTGTAACTGCTGCTGTGAGCGATCTACATGATGCTGGTGTTTTTATTTTTGCTATTTTGTCCATAAATACTGTAAATCCCTATTCCTCATATGGAATTTTACCCCTATAACTGCTAGTACAGGGATCTCTAACCTTTCGCAGCCGGTGAGTTACCTTTACAAAATGAAAATGCTGGAGAGCTACTAATTTTAGGCTACTAATTTTCAGTTGCAAGAAACTGAGTTGATATAAGAGGGCAAGCCTTAGATGTACAGTAAGATGCCTATAAAACATTAAGCTCTTATCCATTTATTGGTGCACAAAGTTCAAAATAACACATTTACAGTGGTAATTAATCAAATTTGACTTATTTATAATTCAGAAATCCATTGGCAAGCTACTAGTAATGGGGGGAGAGCTACTGGTAGCTCCCAAACTACATGCTGGAGACCCCTGTGCTAGTATCTTGAACTTCATTTGACTGGCAGGGTTCCCACACATCCTGGAAAAGTCATAGAAATTGAAAATGTCATTTTCCAGGCCTGGTAAAGTCAAAGCATTTTATAAATTCAATGAAAGCTTTGGAAAAGTCATGGAATTTTAGTATTTCTTTCACACAACTACAGCGTTCTGTTAAGTTCTCATGAGGCTATTATGATTATTTCCGAACGTCGGCGCCTTTTGTTTCAAAGAGACGACAATAACAACTGACAGGATTTTGAATGTTAAAAAACTATAATCCAAAACCATAAGATGAGTGGAAAGAGTTAACATTTCATATTTAGCCAAAGCTGTTCATTTTGTCTTCTTATATACATTAACTTCTTGGGTTCTTTTTAAAGAACTGTTGTCTGTCCATTTAAAGACATGTTGTCTAGCAGCCGAAACATGTCAACAAGGTAAATACACTTTACTGCATTGTGTTTAAAAAGAACCCAATGTAATATTTAGCCCTAAAAGTCTTATCAATTCTACACATGTAGGTGCCGTAAAGCTTTGTTTCCCAAAGACTGGGTCGTGACCCTCAGGTGCGTTGCAAGAGATTATTTGGGGATCACCTTGTCACGATCTGCATGTAGATCTGCAATATTCAGTTCTACAGATTTTTTGTTCGAATATTGCTGGTTCAGCTGAATGGCTACATTTAGTGTCCAAATAGGCGACTTCTGGATCCTTTTATTGCTACTTCAATGTTTTTCAGAGACACGATCACTCAGTCAACATTAAAATATCCTCATTCATGTTCAATAATGGTCACCACAAATCCACCTTTATTTTGTGATTTACGAATGGGTCACGAAGGTTTATGACTTTTAAAATATCCCAGTCCCCAGAAACACTGTCTTAGAGTCATGGAAAATTCCCTTTAGGTCATAAAAAAGTCATGGAAAACTTTTGAAATTTTGTCAGTGAAAGAGTGGGAAACCTGGACTGGAGCCTGAAGCTATGGGTGAAGTCACACTCCCTTAGTCCACTTCTTTATACATTCTATAGGGTAGAAACTTCACCCAAGACACCACCCACCTTGCCTAGTATAAATGTGGTGTGCGAGTCATTATTATTTGTAGTATTTTTCACTTCTCTCGTCGAAGCAAAAAAATCTGCACATTTGAATAGTGATTTATGTGCTACCTTTTTTCAATTAGGTAAACATCCTTGCGAGACCTTTTTAGTGGCTTTTGCTCTGTTTTCGATTATTTCTAACTGTTGACATTGGTGCGTTTTGTTAGATGCTGTGCAATTTTTAAAGACTCTTCGCCGTAAGAAACTCAGGACCTAACCTGTAGCTAATTTCGCAGCCACCTATACATTTTCTGCTTCCCATCCATCACCCGCACTATCTCTTCACCTGTCGCCGTTATTAATCCCCTCTGTCTCTTTGCTCGCCCGTCTTTTCCGACCCAACCCTATTTTGGTGAATTTAGCGCGGTCTCTCGGTTCAAAGATGGCCGCTCTGGTGCTCTGTTGGTGCCAGTATTGGACGCTGTAATTCTCTTTAACTTGTAATTGTGTTTGTAGTGTTTCTCGGGGCTCGGGGCTGATTTATGGAGCGTGCCAAGGCTCTGCTAACAAGGGTCATAAATCGTGGTGCGCCCGCTGCTGTTAATCACTATGGGACCGGGACTGGGCTCTGAGCTCAGAGCGGAGCAGCAGGAGCAGGGATGGGCACATATTTGATGGTCTGAGGAGTTTTCGTGTTTTAGTTTAGAGTCCGACATGTGGAGAGGTAAAAGTATTTTTCTTACACTGGGGTTTTATTTGGGTTTCTAAGGTTCCTTTTTATTATTTCAGTATGAATCATAGACTGTGTCCAAAATCCGTAAAGCCAATCATGGGCTCTCACGTTTAAAGCTTTTCTGGTGGAGGGTCCGTCAAATGCTTTTTCCTCGTGGAGATGTTGTTGCTTTGTTCGGATTGTTAAATTAAACAGTTTTATCTCCACGGAGACCAACCCAGACTAAGTTACAGGTCAGATCTGTGGAGAGGCGACCACACAATCAGTCAGAATGTCTGTTTTTCTAGCCATTTTTGAGCGGTAAAACCAGAAACTGTGGAACATTTATTACTCCACTACAAATTCTGGACAGGACTAAAAAGTAGAAGTATTTTTATTATAGTTTTAGTTCTGCTGAAAAGCCTGAGGGGTCTATTTTTAACATAATCACAGTTTGAGCAAATAGAAATATACAAATTAAAAAAATAAAAAAAAAAAAACAGTTTAGTTATTTCTGTTGAAAATTCAAAATTCTGCAGAAATTATCATCAAATCACTACACTGAAGCTTTATTAGATCTCAAAATATGTGTGAAATACTTTCTACTCTTTAAGTACATTTTAAATGAGTACTTAAATAATTTTACTTAAGTAATTCATGTAGTACTTTTATTTGATTAGATTTATTTTTTTTTTTTGCTCCTGTATCTGTACTTTACTTAAGTAGATTTTAAAGTGGATTCGTTTTACTTTTACTTCACTGTATTTGAGAGCCTGTATTTGTACTTTCTACTCCACTACATTTTGGACAGGACTGAAAAGTAAAAGTATTTTTATTATAGTTTAGTTCTGCTGAAAAGCCTGAGGGTCTATTTTTTAACATGGTCGTAGTTTGAGCAAATAGAAATATACACAAAAAAAAAAAAAAGTTTAGTTATTTCTGTTGAAAATTCAAAATTCAGCAGAAATTATCATCAAATCACTACACTGAAGCTTTATTAGATCTCAAAATATGTGTGAAATACTTTTACTTTCTACTCTTTAAGTACATTTTAAAAAGGGTACTTAAATACTTTTACTTGAGTAGATTCATGCTTTCATTCATACTTTTTTCTTGAGTTTGTTTGTTTTTTTTTGCTCCTGTATCTGTACTTTTACTAAAGTAACAAAACTGAGTACTTCACCACTCCACCACTTTTTGGAACAATGTCCGTGAAGATCAACTTATGCCAGTCCAAATAAGAGTCAGGTTTGTGGAGATGCAAGCCCATTCATAGTCAGAAGTTTTTCTACATTTTGCAGTGCTATAAAACAATTCATAATGATAAATAAAAAATACTTTTTATTGTCTATTTTTGGCACAAACCGTCACATACTGCGGCTTTAAGTGGCAATACTGTTTTTTTTTTTATAAGAATATTATAACATGTCACAATCTACCCCACTTTATCCCAATTATTAAAAGAAAAGTGAGGAAAACTTCAAGTCCTATGTACAGTAAATGCACTTTCTTATTTTATAATTCTAAAAAACAAAAGTCTGCCAATTAAATACTTGTAGAAAATACGGGTTGCTTAAGATTCTCAACATCAGATCAGTGGCTGCATGTTCTCAGTTAAGTGTTGATTGCGCTGTGGTATATTCTACACTCTGAATTGCATCACATTATTTCATTAAGCCACATCGAGCTCTTCAGAACACGTGTGCAAATATAGAAAACACTCTTAGCTGTAATAATGCCTCGTATGTAATCCTGCTTAATGCACGTTCGTTCCTGTGATTCGGAACCCAAGCGTATGATGTTCCCATGTATCAAAAAATGTAAGCGTGGGAGTTTTTTTTTTTTTTTTTTCCTTTTTTCTGGAGCTAATGAGGAGGTGGGCGTTTAGTTAAAGCTGAGAGGATGTGTAGAGCCGTTGCTGTAGTGCGCTTTACCTGCTCTGGGCGTAACATTAGACCTGACACAGATCACAGATGTGCACTTCTACATGATACTTTAAGTGCGGAGTGGGTAGAACTGAGCTACTCCGTTAGTCTGACGGTGACCTGTTTCCTCTTCATATTCTATTATGGTGGATATTGGGTTTAAATGGAGGAGGCGGCACTG